TCACTGGCTTAGATAAGTTTCATTGTGGGAGCAAACTGTGACTATGGGGAGAAAACTTTGTGGGGAGAAATTGTAACTGTGAGGATAAAATTTTAATTGAGGAGATTTTAATAGTCAAAGAGTGTTTTAATTGTGGGAGAAAACTTTAATTGGGGATGAAAGTTTGATTGTGGGGAGACAACTTTAATTTCAGGGGGAAATTTTAATTGGGAGAAAAATATAGTCAGAAGGAGAAAACTAAATGGCAGGAGAAAACTTTAATGGAGGGAAGTTTGATTGGGGAGAGAAAATTTTAACTGCAGGGACAAGATTTTAATTGTAGGAGAAAACTTTGGCTGGGGGAAAAAAAGTTCCATTGCAGGGGAAAAAACTTTAAATATATATAGAAATCTTTAATTGAGGACTGACAGCCTTCATGACATTTCTGATAGCTGTAACTTTGCTTGGCAGGTGAGACAGAAGCAGCTGCAGAGGTGGAACCCTGCAGATGGAGGAAATGAGTGATTATTCTGGATTTTTGGGTGTGGAAAGGAGCAAGCGGACAGGTAACTGTAGGGCAATGAACTGAAGAGTCACTGGATTTTTTTTTTTAATGCTTCTGTAATCTGAGAACAAACTCAGTTGAGGTAAGGCTGTAAGGGGGGAAAAAAGCTTTTTCTAGCACTTCCCTTCAGGGAAAAATTTTGTCACTCAGCAAATGGATTTTTTTCTCTCAGCAGCCTCATTTTAGACACTGTGGGTTATTCTCATTTAGGATTAACCATCCCTGAAGCACTGAAGTAGCTGAGTGTTTTGGGAATTTTAATTTTTTTTCCACAAATATTCAAATTTTCTGATTTATTCTGGATGAGAAGAAATAAATTTTTGAAGAGTTGACGTGTTAAAAGATCCCTGGTAGAAGTTTGGTACTTAAATCCAGTTTGGACACATCAGCAAAATATTTATTAATTTCTTCTTTCCCTTCAATGCTGCCCTGTTTCAACTCTCTTGATTTTGCTCCCATCTCCACCACTGTAAGGTAAAAAAAGGGGTTTTGGGGGCTTTTCCATCTCGTGCTACCCAGCTACTAAGATTTTTGAGGAATGCTTTTTTTAATTTAGCAAATCTGTTGATTTTTCTTATTTGCTGATTTTTAATTAATTTTTAAAAAATTTGTTGTTTTGGTTTTTTATATATATGACTGGGGTTTTTTAAAAAAAATATTTTGCATATTTGGTTTCTGACTTACTTTCTAATATTAATTTTCCAGGAGGAAGAGGAGAAAGGAGGGTTTGTCCCATGAGATTTGGTTCATGTAATAGATGTGGACAAAAAGGGAAAATCTTAAAAGAAAAATGGGGGAAGTGCCACTGGGTAAAAA